GGAAGTTTGATTCAACAGGGTCTGGTCTTTGCCTTTTCAAACAAACACTGCCAGATGATTCTCATGGCGGGAGGTTGGACAAACACTGCCCCTGGCCCCCAGAAAGCACAGGATCAAGGCCAGGCCCTATCGTTCAGACAGTAAGGCAGAAAAGTCAGGCTTTTGATGTCTGCTGGCCCTGGTGGAGGGAGAGGCACTGCCCAGGCAGCGTGTTTCCCTGGTCTCCACCATGGCCAAAATGGAGATGGGTCCATCTGGCCAGCATTGCTCACATGAGTGGCCCACCATCGTAGGCACTGGCCATTTGCCTCTCCAGCATCCAGGCTTCCCTTTCACTGGGGACTCCCCCTGCTGTTTCCTTCCAGGGTTTGGGGTCTCAGCAATCAGCACCTATCTAGCTCCAGGGAGAGGCCTGTGAGCCTGGCTTAAGCCGATTGTTGGCAACTCATTTCCTCAGCCAGTGACTGGTTTGGACAAAAAAACAGTCCAATCAGAGGGAACCATGGGGCCCAGGTGCGCATTGCCAGATCAGAGGCTTGTTATATTCCTTTTGGGCTTACTCTAGAGGGGATGAGACCCCTCTGCTCCATGACATCTGTCCTAACACCTAAGTTATGATAACAGTCAATGCTTACTGAGGGCTCACCTGGGTCAGATGCCCTGCTAAGCACTTGACATTGATCATCTCATTTCATGCTTACCACAAGCAGGAGACAGGTGCTATGATCGTCATCATTTGTTGGATGAGAACATCAAGGCACAGAAAGGTTAAGTAGCACGCCCCAGATCCCACTGCTGGGCAGGGAGCCAGGCAGTCTGGCTCTCCTCGCCATGGTGCCCGCAGCTGCCAGGGACTACCCGCCCCAGAGCTGGAGAGAGACACCAGCCCCATGGAAGGCAGAGGAGCAGTGGAGAGGAATGGATTCTCATGACAAAACCTGAGCTGCGGGTCCAGCTGTGTCTGAAGCTAGCGTTAGTCACCTAAGGACTTTTGGTTATGAAAACCAGTAAGTCCCCTTCTTTTCTCCTTAATCTGGCTTGAGTTTTTTTCTTCTCTTTTTCTGTTGCTTGTAAGGGAAAGAAATCTGATTACTTTACAGTCCTTCTAGGCAAGTACCCCTAACTGATATTCCATTTACAACTTGCACACAGCAGCTGCTCAGTAAACGCGGATGGACTGCTCTCCCTTCCGGTCCATTCACCGCTGGCTCTGTACCCTGACACCCAACTGTGGCCAGCCCAGCGCCTCTTCCCCTTTAGGCTCCAAGTGAGGCCTCGTTCCCTAGCAACCACCCCAATTAGGCAACCATGCCATTTATCAGGATGCCAATTAATTATAATGATCTTAATGCTCTCCCAATTAGACAGTGCCTTCAATCCGGCTGGGCCAGGGGTGTCTGTAGAATCTCCACCAAGGCCCATTCCAAGGAGGCCCAGGGAAAGCAGGTCTCAGGGAGGGCCCCCCTCACCTGCAGGTCAGCATTGAGACGCCCCCATTTTCCACATCCACCCAGGCCTGACACAGAGCACCCTGGCACCACCCCCAGGGCCAGGCCAGTGAGACTCCATCACCAACCACAGGAAGGTCTCACCTCTAGGAGAGCTTTCGCCCTCTGGCCCCTGTGCTCTGAGTGGGCTGAAATCTTCATCTCGGTTCCCCTGGCTTTTCCATCAGCTGCATTTGATGTTCCTTTTGCATTCTGACTGGGGGAGGGGAGAGCGTGTCTGCTCACAAGCAGAAGAAAAAGCACCAGGCAGGCACATGTTTTCCTTGGGGCAAGAAACCCCAAATACAAACCCGTGACTCTCTGTGTGAACAGTGGGGGTTTATGGAAAGTTGAAGGGCTTCGACTTTGCAAAGTTTGACTGTCTGAAGGTGTTTTCTTCCCCTGCATATGTGTTTCTTCTACATCTGGGACAAAGGCCAAGGTCATGGAGGAGAGCCCAGTGGTTCCAAGTGGACCCCGGAGCTTGAGGGCCTTTTGAATCCCAGCTCTACCTGTGACCAGCTGTAGGCAAGTCACAATCACCTCTGTGCCTCAGTTTCCTCATCTTTAATATGGTAACAATTGCAGTACTTACCTCATAGGGTGGATTTAATGAGTGAGATATCAGGGCTTAGATCAATGCCTCAGATCAGGCCCATACAAAACTACTTAAGTGTTATCAATTATCTTAAGTCTGGACTAAACCTTTTAACTACAAGCTGGTCAGAAATGCTGATATTTTTCTCTAGGACAAGGATTCTGGACTCCTTCTGCAGGACTGAAGTCTTAAGATCAGATAATGGCCAAAGCTTGACAGAGTTGGGTGATATTCTGCCTGGTTAACCCAGCTGCCCTCTTGAGGCAGGTCCAAGCAGATAAACTAACCAGTGCCAGAAAAAGTGAGAAGGAAATGTTATGTCCCAAATCAGGTGTATCAACTGGGTTCTCTGGACAGCAGCTGAACTTGAGGACATGCGCGTGCACGCGCACACACACACACACTGCTATGCTGTCCTCCTCCAAGACCAGACTTTTACAATCAACCCATCATTCTACTCTCAAGTTTGAAATTTTAACATGTTATTAGGGTTTCAGAAAAAGCCATAAATTCAAATAAAAAACCCAAGAAGTACACACAAAGCTCAAACCCCAAACCCACACTGACTCTCGGCTGCAGCAGTGATGCCAACATCACGGCTTTTATGTACATAAACTTGGTCAGGGAAGGAAGAGGCCTTCATGTACAAAGGTCCAAGATGCCATCCGCCAAGCCCACCACCTTCGCCTTTCAAGCTGCTTATTAGAACGCTAAATTACACACCTGACAGGCTGTCTGGACGAGTTTTCTCTATGATGTGGGACAGGCGAAGCTGGGAGAACATCTCTCAAAGGGAAGGGGCCTTCATTCTGTCCTCCCCACCCCCTTCCTATACTTAACGATTGGCTCTAATTTAATTAGAACCCTCTGGTGGTTCTGTAATGGGAGGCGGAGGCTCAGTCAAGAAATCCCCTTCACTATTCACTACAAGCTGAAATCCGGAGAGCGCGCAGATCCGGGGTGTCCTCCAGAGAAAGCCCTTCTCACCTGCTCCCTGTCTCCCCCTGAGAACCTGCTCCAGCGCAGCCTCCCCGTCTCCGCACCAAAAGTGGGGGTGGACCCTGTGGGAAACAGGCAGGGGACAGATGGAGGAGCGAGAGGGCGGGAGTCCCAACATGCACAGATGAGCAAATACCCAGATTGAAACGTAAGCTGAATGTAATTACTTGGTTAATTAAATATTGACTTTTAACTCAAAAAGTGATTAAAACAAGCTGCAGGAAGACTGTCCAGAAAGGGGGGCAGGGAATGAATCAAAGCTTTCAAGGAGGGGGAGGAGGAGGGGGTCGTCACAGGCAGGTCTGGCTTGCTCTTCCTACTGTGTGCTGGGCCTACAGCGTGCAGGTGGGAAGCTGCGGACCGAGGCCAGTGTGCAAACTGGGATTGCAGGCTTCCCCTTCCATCTTCCACCCCAAGACGGCATCTCTCTACCCTGCTGCCCTCCAAGTGAACCGGCAGCTTCTGGCGCGCAGGAGCCAGATCCTGTTCAGCCGCGTTTCCCTGGAACAGAACGCGGTGCCTGGCACGAGGGGGTGCTCCAGAAATGCTTGTAGAACGAATGAACGAACTACTATAAGGAATGTTTGTTTGGAAAAGTGCACTCCTAGAATTCACCGCTAGACTTCTGAAACCCCGAGGAGCCGAAGAGGGGAGCATCTCTCCGCCAGGCGATGGAAACTGGTTGTGCCCTGGCCTGGGAGGAAGTCTGCCTTTTCGATCCTGTTTGTCCTTTCGATGTCTGCGAGTTTCTAATCACTCTGAAGATCCGGCCCACTGCTTCCCCGAGTCCTGCCCGGACAAGCCCCACGTGGGCTGGCTTCTAGCCGGTCCCTTGGGTCTAAACCCCAAGGGTCAACAAGGCCATGCCCCTGCGGACGGTGGGCCCAGGCGCGCTTCCCCCGGGGCCGCCTGGGCTCGGTGTGGCGCGTCTGCGGGTCAGGGGCGCGTCGGGAAGTCCTCGCCCGCCCAGCCAGCCAGCGGGGTCAAACAGGTCATCCCCCTGCGGCCGGCCGGCGCCGGAGCCTACCTCCTGCCTGCAGGGTCCCACCTCCGCAAGCAGCACTGGGGCCGGAGCCGGGCGGTCGGGACCGGCCCCAGCTCACCTGGGCGGCGCTCGCGGCCGGGCTCACGCTGGGGAAGGCTCCGGCCGCCGGGAGCCCCCGCCCGAGCCCCGCGTCCCCTAGCCACCCACCTGCCCCCCACGCCCCACTCACCAGCGCGCACGGTCCCGGCGGCCTCACCAGGCGCGGGGCGCCACCGCCTCTGCCGCAGCCCGGCCGGGCCGCGGGGCGCAGGGGACTCCGCGCCGCCGCCGCTGCTGCTGCTGCCGCTCCCGCCGCCGCCGCCGCCGCCGCTGCATCCCCCGGCGAGCGCGGCTGCTCCTCCCCCTGCCTCCTCCCCGCCCCCCAGCGCCGCCGCCGCTGCCGCCACCGCCCCCGGCCCCCGCCCCGCGCGCCGCCCAAGCCAAAGTCCGGCTCCGCGCCCCGCCCGGACCGCTCTTAAATCGCCCCAGCCCGGTCGGCCGCTCTGCCCCAGCCAGCCCCTTGGCCCGGCGCTGCCGCCCCCTGCCCGCCGGCCTCAGCGCAGGGGAGGCGGGCGCGCTTCAGGGCGGGGAGCGTCGGGCCGGGAGCAACGGACGGCGGGGGCCCGGGGCGCGGGGGGCCCAGCCAAGGTGCCCTCCCCGAGCCCTCCGCGCGCGAGCGCTTTTACCTCCAGCTCGGGGGACGCGCGGCCCGCACCCGGCTCTGCCTGTCCCCGGCGCACGGCCCCGGCCCCGAAGTCCAGCTCCGGACGGGGCAGTGGACGCAGAGCTGGGGTCCCGGCGGCTCTCGGCCTCCGGATGCCTCCGGACCCGGCTGGCCGCGCTCCCGGCGCCGAGCGCGCACCCTCGCCGGGAAACACAGACGCACACTCACCCGACACACTCTCGCTCCCGCTTGCCCTCGGCGGAGAGTTGAAACAGATGTGGGATTCGCCCAGGAGCTGGAAACGAGGGAGGGAAGCGAGCCAGAGCCGTGTGTGCGCGTGTGTGTGTAACACACAAACCAGGGGGCATCGCTAATAAATCAAATGTGATAAATTCAGGAGGGCCATCGATCAGGTCCACTTGGCTGGAAACGACGTGAATCTGCCTCTTTTCTGCTTTCTTCTCCTCTCTCGGAGCTGGAGGGAGCCAAGTGTTTCGCGGGGCGTGCGACAGCCCCGACCGGGCGCTCCCCTCGTAATGACACGTTAATAAATGTTTTCTTTTATCTGCTTTCACAGAACTCGCCCCGGTCTGCAAACACTCGACTGCCTTTGCTGAAAGCCTCGCGCTCGCCTCCAACCACACACATTTGCCATTGGAGAGGCCAGCGCCGGCCGCGACCCCGCGGCTCAATCGCAGGGCAAACCGAGCTGCCCGTGCGCGCCCCAGAGCTCCCCGAGAAACTAACTTGGGCTCAAGTGAAAATAGCAGCTGTTGCCCAGAAATGGCCCGGGAGTAGCAAAGAGAAACCGGCTTCTTCCGAAAGGGGAGGAATTCGACTCAAGGGGGTGCTGTCTACCGCGGTTTCCGCTGTCCCTCGCGCCACAGAAGAGGCCGGAGGGGGACCGGCCTGACGCGGGTGGGCAAAGAGCGAGCAGAGAACCCACCAGCAGCTGCAGAACACACAGCCGAGTTGCTTGCTAAGGGGAAACAGACGCCGCTGTAGGAAAGCACTTGTAAGCAGCAGTAACTTATTAAACCTTGTGACAATCTCACACAGTAAGTTACTATGCCCGTTTTACCATGGAAACCAAGAGAGGTTTAGTAACTGTCCGAAGATTGCACAATTATAAGTGGTGGATTCTGTGAAGCCAAGAAGCCTTAGCTCCAGGCTCATGCTCTTAAATCCTAGGATGTTTTTACTTTTCAACCTAGCATCTCCTTTCTGTGGTGTGATCCTCCATGCTAGACTTGTCAGACTTAACAAATACAGACCTCTATGGGGAGGAACTTAGTACTAAACAATTATTCATTTTTTAATCTGAAATTCAAATCGAATCTCCTGACTGGGTTTGGGGCTCTAGGCTCCTCCCCATAACCTCTGTTAGCCACCCCAATCAAGTTAGAGCCTAAATAAATCAGAAAAACCTTGAACTTGCTTTTCCAAATCAGGTGCTGGCCCTACCATTAGCATCACTGATAAGGCTGATCAGCTCCCACCTTCTTTGCCTTGGGACAGAATGTCAGGCATCACCATCATAGACCAAAAAATAATGGAGACCCCTCTCCCTCCGCCTCATCTCTGTAGAAGGACATATATATCATTTAGAATTTTCTAGTAGTGCATTAGAAAGTAAAAAGAAACAGGTGAGGGCGGGGCACAGTGGCTCACGCCTGTAATCCCAGTATTTTGGAAGGCCAAGGTGGGCGGATCACTTGAGCTCAGGAGTTCAAGACCGGCATGGGCAACATGGTGAAACCCCATCTTTACAAGAAATACAAAAATTAAGCTGGGCATATTGGCATGTGCCTGTGGTCCCAGCTACTCGGGAGGCTCAGGTGGGAGGATCACTTTGAGCCTGGGAGGTCAAGGCTGCAGTGAGCCATGATTGTTCCAGTGTGTTCCAACCTAGGTGACAGAGTGAGACCCTGTCTGAAAAAAGCAGGTAAAATTAATTTTAATGTTAATAATATAGTTAACCTAGTATATCCAAAATCGATCTCTTCATGTAATCAATATAAAATTATTAATGAGATATTTTTACATTATTTTTTCTTACTAAGTTTTGTAAGCCGGTGTACAATCTAAACTTAACAGCGCATCTCAACTGGGACCAGCCACGTGTGGCTCAGGGTTCCCATGCTGGACAGTGCAACTCCGGCAGGTTCTGCGGTCAATGGCTGTTTCCACCAGGTCGTCTCATGTACTCCTCCTGACAATCTTTTCAAGAAAACTGATGCTAAGAGAGATAAAGGGTCTTGCCTATAGTCAAAAACTTGGCCAGTGGAATTTCAACCTATTTGCTGTCCCTGGTTTTGGGACGTGTACCCCACTGCAGAAGCAATTTTCTTACTGGGTCCTCAGAGCCCTTTGGGGGTGTGTCTGGGGCTTGGGGTGGAGGAGGGAGGCCCAGGAATGGGATCTGCCTCCCTCCTACTTTTTATGTTGGGTTCTGGAGAATATTTCATGGGTGGGGAAATTTCCACGGCAAAAAACAGTTTTAAAAAAACCCACTGCATTACCACACTATGCCCTTTGGGCCTCGAGTTCCTGAACATGGCTCTCTCATACCCATATGGATCCTGCCCACAATGTTTCACTCCATCCTCGTCTGCTCATCAGGTAACCCCAGTCAGAGAGGGGAAGCTTACAGTCCTTTCTGGGGCTGTGGGCCTGGCGGACATGTGGCATTTGCTTATCTTTTTGGATATGTTGTTTCCATTGTTGCTGGACATTACCAAACATGGTAATGTCTATGTTGGCCCCTTATCCTTCCTTAAGTAGATGGGGACAGATCTTGCGTGTGCATGCATGTGTACCTGTGTGTCCGAGCATGTATGTGTGTGTGTTCATTGTAGGCTATGGGTCACGTGTTTTAGTCTGGACTTAACTTACTGGCTCAGACACCCATGAGGTCAGAGGGTCTGCAAAGCTCCTCTGGCCATGTTTCTTCCCCATAATTCCCAGCAAACTCCCTTGTCCTCTGGGTTCAAGGCCTCAGCCTGTTTTCCAGGTCCTTCCAGGCAGGTGGGGACCAGAGGCCCGTTCCGGAGCTCGGAGCTGGGTGTCTGGGATACGTGAGGGGCCCTGAGGGCTCACATGTCCCCCAGCCTGGCAGCCTGGTCTGGGTGGGGCTCAGCAGAATCCTGGGCACCCCCACGGCCTCCTGGTACTCCAGCCCCTGCCACCTCCACCCACACCGAGACAGCCTTTCTCCTCCCATGTCCTTCATCCCCCATGACATCTCTTGGTATGATCCTGACCATCCTAGCTGGACGATCAAGCTTTTCAAGCTCCTCATGCCGCCCCATTCTCCCCAGCATTGTTGATTTAACCTCAGGGGGACCTTTCTCTTGATGCCTCCATGCCTCATTTCTTCCCTCTGCAGATTCCTTGGCAGCCCTTTTGTGCAGAACGCCCGTCTGGTTCTATCTCCCTTGCAAGGCCGGAGTTGCTGTTTTATTCCCTTGACTCATATGTAACAATTAAAAAAAAAAAATCATTCTTGCTATGTGTTTCTTTATTTCCATCAAGAGGTTGAAACTCAATCTGATTGAGCACTTCTGGCTGGATTTGGGTTGGAGTCGATGGGATTTTATGAGGGTTGTAAAAGTCAAGCTTTTAACATGTCTCAAGCCAATTGGCGTGTAAAGGAGAAACGTTAGAAGAAGGAACATGGCCGCAGACGGGAGGCTTGGGAATGCGAGCCGTAGAACTGGGACACAGGTGGCTTTAATAATGCACACGAGTTTGGCTGTAAGTTGCTTCTACAAGAGCAGAAGAGGCAGCAGAACCACTCTCAGGAGGTTGAGATCAAACTTCTCAGCTCCTGAGTGCAGACAGTTTTGCATGGGTTTTAAAATACAGATTCCAGGATCATCCATAACAATATAAATCTGTGGTTAATTCTGCTGAATTTTCACTTAGACCCAAGCTGTACTGTCAGTAGAAATGCAATTGCGTTAGAGAAAAACTGTTTATATTTCTTGAGATACTGTGATAATGAAAAACAGTACCATAAACCCCCATTAAGTAAGAAGAACATTAATTGTATTTCATGCTGCCTCCCTGGGCCAGCACGCTGACACAGACATGCTTTACTTCAGCAAAACACGGCTAATCTTTGCAGCACGGTACCCATTTTCCCCTTTAATTACACATAATTGTATAGTCTAATTTATTCTAACGCCTGACGCCGAAAAGTGCACATTTATGAATCAAGGGTTAGTTTGGGAGGGAGGAGAATTATAAACGGGTATAATTGCAGTCTCCTGGGGGCTGCTTATGAGTGATTTCAAAGAATGATGATGTTTATTCTCATTTCTTACCAGTGAAAGACAGTAGGGCTGCCTCCAGTTAAGATACTGTTCTAAGAGCACAGATAACAGGACAATTTGTCTAGTTGCTTACCACACTAGTGGTTTTCCTTTGGATAAGCAGGCAAGAAAGATTAAAGATGTGGGTTCCACCTATTTTGCGATGTGATGAAATCCAGGCACACAGACAGCATCAGTAAATGTGCAATTGAGTATTAAAATGAGTAATGTGGCCCCAGGCAGCACAGCTGCAGATCTCGGTGGACAAGGGAGAGTGTGTGGAACTCTGTTGGACGATAGTTGTCTCAGGGGGAAAAGCAGGATCCATTTGACCATTAGTGCAATTCACTTTAGGGCTCTCTCTGGAACAGTGCATCTAGTTTTGCAATCGTATTTCAGAAAAATCACCTTTAAGCTTTGATCATAATTAATTAATCAATTATGATGAATGTTGATGGTGATTTAGTAAAAGTGGAATGATGACTTAGGGCTCCCCCAGGGCTGAGGTTTCTAACGAACCTAGGCTATGCCTCTACTGTCTGGCCCTTCCTTGGTTGATCTTCCCAGGCCTCAGTTTCCTCATCTTACGAATGAGGATAATATGGAGGACATTGCTGGCTGTCATGTGGATTAAGTGAGATTGGTAAAGGTAAAAGGCACACACGATGCCTGGCTGGAAGGTACACAATGAGTGTTCACTAAATCAGAATTGGAAACATGCTGTCTTGTGCTCCTGAGAGAGACACTTCTTCGTGGTCTGCAAAGCCAGACTTTGAAATCCAGGGCAGTGGAGGCAATGATGCCAAAGGAAACCAGATCATGCCACTCCTAGGCCTAAAATCTCCTCCTCTTAGATGGAAACGCGATCCTGCTCCTGCCTGGCACTCCAACATCTTTCTCTGCTGTCTTGCTTCCATTTTTATTATGACAATTTCACATGGAAAAGTTGAAAGAATAGTACGGTGGACACACTTATACTCCACCTAGAATCAACAGTTGCTAATATTTTGCCATGTGTGCTTTATACATTGCAGAAACATTTGAGAGGTGGTTGCAGACATGATGACACATTACCCCTCAGGAGTTGGGCAGGCATCTCCTAAGAATCGGTTGTTTTCCCAGGTGACCTCCCTATTATTATCGCACCAAAGGAAATGAACAGTAATTCCGTAATCACTCCCTTGCTCACAGAAACACAAAGGTATCTTTCACTTTGTTCCTCAAGCCTTTTCCTGCCTCAGGACCTTTGCACTTTCTGTGGCCTCTCCCTGGCATTTCTCTCCCCAGACTGTGCTCCAAAAACTCTCACTAGTCAGGTTTCAGCATGATGTCATCTCCTGGGAGAGTTTGTCCCTGTCTGTTTCACGTAAAAATGCTTCCCAGTCACTCCTCCCTTCCCCATTTTAGCATCTTCACTATCTGAAATTCTGTTTTTATTTTCTGTCTGTGACTGTGGTCTATGTCTCCCTCCCCACTCCCCATCCCACACTACCGGCAGGAGAGCAGGGGCTATGTCCATTTCTTCACTGTTGTAGCTGCAGTGACCAGAACATTGTCTTGCATAGAGTAGATATTCAATATATATTTGTTAAACAAATGAATGAATATCCTACATGTGATGTTTTCAAACAGAAGAGGTAGTAAAATGGAGGGATTAAACCCCGGTTTTTAGAGATAACTCCACACAACTTCAATCCCAGTGCTACCACACACCAACTGTTACTGTGGGCCTCTGCCCCTTAAATTTACCTGCCAGAGAGGGACAATGACAATCATCTCTCCACCTTCTAGGACTGCTGTGAGTTATTAATGAGCTTATATACTAAGAGCTTAGAACAGTGTCTGGCATCTAACGCCAACCTTTCTTAAGCACTTACGATTAATGTTGAATAGGCTGGCCAGAGGCCCATGATTTTAAGCACCACTGGCTGTTCACAGGCTCACACAGAAACTGTCTCCAAGC